AGCACAATAATGGTGATGGCGTTTTAACCATAGCTCTTTACTCTTCACAGATCCCTTACTATCGAAACACTAATCACTGTGCCATCTTAATGGATAAGAGGTTATTCTCTGGAAGGTTAAAATTGGCAGTGTTCTCTTTCTGCCTGGAACAAGTCTGGTCAGAGGTCATTCCAGGATGAACCGGTGTCCCAGCCAGTAGGTAAGGGCTGAAGTTCACATGATTTAATAATGGCCCCTTCGAAGTAGTAGAAAAAAATAATAATCTAAGAACATTTGTTGACTGGAAGCTGTATTTGACATGTGGGTACCTTCAGAACTAAGGTGAGGATTTGTAAGAAAGAAGAACGGTGTAGCAAGTAGCTCAGCTCTCCTTTGGAATCATTAATGCAGGCAACTTTTAAACAGAGTGGGCTTTCTTCATCTAAAGGATACTGCGGTTCAAAGAAGGCTGTCTGAAGCTGTTGTGAATTACGTGTTTGGAATGAACAAGACAAGCTGACATCTAATCAGAAAAGAAAAGACAGATTTTTATACTTACTACACTTTTAAGTAATAATAATAATTAAAAAAATCCAGTTTCTTACAGGCCCAACAGCACTGCACAACTCTTTGTACCTAGAAATAAATTGAAGGTAAGGGCACTCACCTTCACTTGTGCTTTGTTTGTACCAGGGAAATCTGAAAAGCTCAAAGTTTACTGTTATTTTCTCCCTGATACAATTGAGGATCCCTCCCAACACCACAGCTAACAAGTGCTTTTACAAAATCAAACCATCCAGCTCTTCCAAGGGCCAAAACTCGAGGACTGTATCATCATTAAGGATTCCCAAAATACACTGTTCTCAGAGCTGTACGAGTTCACTGGCACAGCCCCACTTGGTGCACGACGTAGGAATTAGGCATATTTAGAATTATGGGACATTCATTTTCATAACGACGTGGGGCTGGACCCAAATGAGTTTTGGGTAGGCTTCCAGGAAAGAGCTTACACTGCCATTACCATAAATCATCCCAGAACATCAACAGTGATACAGAATCTTTCAATAAAAAGAAATGCTACCGCTTCTTTCAGGACTGCCACTTGCCATTTCTTTTAGGTAATCAGATAGCTGTTAATTAATAAACCTGTCAGGTGAATCGTCCTGCTCTGGTCATCATTATCCATTCTGTAACAGAATCCTGCTATCATCGCCGCTATCCACCCCATAGCTTCCAGCTCAATTAACTTAATGCTATGCAAATGAGCGGCTCTCCTCATCATTAGCTTATAGCCCACAAATGTTAATAACATAATTGGGCCTTCAACAGGGTAATTAGACACGATTTCTTCCATTAGTCTTACAAGGCTAATTATTGTTGATAGGAGAGAGGGGATGAGTCCCAGTGCTGCATGCAAAGAGGGGCATCTGGTTAAAGCAAATATAGACAAAACATCAACAAGGTAAAACAACCGTTGAGATCTATGGCAGGGTCAGGTAGGGGTGGGAGAAAGGAAGACGGCGTGGTTAGGAACTGCTGCAGAAATTCTCGGCAAGGCAGGAACTAAAAACAAATGTTCAGCTTGAATATTGAGCTTTCCTACACTTAGCGCTGAAACACAAGGCTTAATAAATCAGAGGGAGCTACTCTCAACTTTTTGCAGACAGAACAACTTGGAAGCTGTAATGACTGAACTTCCTATGTTTGTAAGGCAAATATAAGGAAGGACGTAGATGAGACCTTAAGTGCTGAATCTGGTCCTAGATTTGCCCTGTAATCCATTGGGATGAAAGCCAAGGACTTGCTCCTATTCTGGCTGTACCAATGCACTCTCATCCATGGCAGTTAGGGTTAGGATTACAAAATTGTAGCAAGTTTGCCTTTCCCATGACTTAGCTCTGACAGTTCAGCAGTCTACTGGAAACACAGCCATGAAAAATATATGTCAACCTGAAAAGCCCAGAAGACTCAAGGGGCTGAAAAGCCACGTGATTTCCTTATTCTGTTTCTCTTCTCTTCAACTTTGGGGCAAATTCACAGCCAATACAAATCCTTTGATTTTACTGCAACTACATAAGGTGGAATTCTTCATAGAAAACCAGTTTGAATTACGTTCACAAAATTAGCAGCATTTCTAGGAAGGTTAAATCAAACAATTTTTTTTTTTTAACTTGCCATTCCTTGGTCTCTTGAGAGTTATGCCAAAAGAACAAACTGCTCTCTGGATCATGGCAGTTCATATCAATGGGATATTTATCAGGATTCATAGCAAAACAACTTTACCAGACAATCTTTTATTTTTTTTAATTCTGACCACGTGCAAAACTTAATACTGGTCTGTCTGAGCTCAAAAATACAGCATCTGTTAGAAAAGGAGGAGAAAGAAGCCTCTGTGGGACTGATGAGAGCCTTACCCAAAATGTGTTTCAGGCCTCACAAAGGACAGGCTTTAGTAATACACAAATATGTAAACACAATGCATTTAGGGACAGAAATTATAATCCTTTCATAGCACAAAAACACTGGGTGTCCACTTACAGCTGAGCCAAGGGAAGCCAATTTAAGTGATGGTGATTAATACATTTATGTGACTGCACACGATCCAGACCAATAGAATTAGATCCAGTGCATCTGTCAGACTCACAGGATCATTCCAACACCTTTCCTGCAGGATAAGCTATGACACCATCCAGCTCTGCTCTCTCAAATTGCCCTGCACTTGCTAAATTTACTAACTAGAAAATTCTGAGCAAATATCTTGTTCCAAGGCAAACAGCAGTAAATCCACTGATGTTTTAATGAAGATTACACTTTCTAATCCTCATGGTAATGACAAACTAGTCTCCATTCAATATGCAATATTACTTGACAGTTTTAATCACCCAAGCCGTATTACATTTGCTACAGACTGATGCACTTGTCTTCCCAGATCTTCAGCATGGAGAATCTAAGCAAAAGCAGCATAATGCCAGTTCTGCCTGTGGATTTCAGCATGGCCCAGTGCTGCCAGCCACGCTACCCGAGTAACAGCTTTCTTACTCTGGGACCAGGCTCAGGCCCAAAGAGATTCTAAACCAGAGGGCAGCTGGCAATGCCTTGTGCTACACTTTTATTCCAGCATTCCTGAATTTTAGTAATCACAGAGTTCAAAGGTAAGGAACATTTCTAATGTAACCGGTGCAAAATCAGACAGCAAACACAGTAAGGGACTTTCATAAACTAAATTTTCACATGTACAGATGTAACAGTAACCTTTCTACATTTATTCAGAATAATATTCAGGCAACTTTTGCCACCACACCACTGAAGTAAATAAATGGTAAGAGATCAATGATGCCTGACAACACTGCAGAGCCCTCCTCTTCCTCCTGTGCTTTCTCAGACACCATCTCCACCCACAGCCCTCAGGCACGTACAACTCTCATCAGTTTTATCAATATATGGTCTTTTCTCCAGTGCATATTAAAATTCTCTTGCACCATTATAGTTGAAGCTTTCCTCCCCCAGTTTAGTTCCTCCAGCTTGTTGGTTCCAATCTCTTCTTGAAACCAGTATTTTCCTTACCAAAAGCTCCTACATCCCCTAAGATAAGATTTGCATTTTGGTTCTTTTGTGTGTGAACTACTGGGGAAATTAAGGTAAAATTTTGAAAAATGGGTGCTTCAGTCCATGAAGAATCAATCAGAATTGACACTGCATATCATACCTTGGTGAGATCAATCAGTGCTACACTCAACAAAATGTGACTGAGGGTGCATGGCCACATGCAGCTCCATCTTCTCCTGCATACCCATCTCAGCAAAAATATTACTTAAAAGTAGCTCTATAGCAAACAGCCAAGGGCTGCAGGATGGCCATCTCACAGCACGTAGGCTGCTGCCAGATCCCAGCCTGCAGAGTCAGCCCAGGGAGCAGGATGAGAGGAAAGCATGCTGAGAAACCCAAGGGGACCAGGCTCTGTGAGCTCAGTGAGCTCCTAGGGATGTTGTTAGGGTTTTTATTCCCATTTTTGTCACCAAAGCAAAAATAATTCAGGAGCGAAAAGCACGTATGATCAGAGAAGCAATAACACTTTGATATCCCACGACTTTCATTCCTTGAACAAAAGTTGTGTTGTAGGTGAATATCCTGAACTGTCTTTACTGATTTTAGAGATTACTACCCAATGTCACCTATTCAAAGTCACCTTCATCAAAGGCATCTAATTTTGGAAGCCAAAGGAGGATCTAGGAGCACTGGCTCTGCCTTGGCAGTGTGGATACTTCATGTTACTTTGCGAAGAAGCACTGAAAGCATTAATATTAAGCTCAGTGCTTCCACAGTTTGACTGTGTCTGTTCCCATGCAGAGATTTTTCTGGTTTGGTTTGTCTTGTCTAACACTTGCTACAATTGCCAAAGACATGAAAAGTAGCCCAGACTACACATTTTATCAGGGTAGAGAGTCTTCAGGTTTCCTAATGTCTCTTCATTTGCAAGAGGTAGCTACTACAGAAAAACATCCCTTTTTTCTGCAGCAAAAAGAATGAAAGGATTCTGCATGTGGTTTTGTGCCCTTAAAAAAATAATAACAAAAAAAAAAACCCTTGGCTTAGAAGTAGAAGTTTTTCTTCTTTCTCTTCCTGGAGACTTGGAAGTTTGCTGAGATCAGAGATCTCCTTAATTGCTGGACCCAGGACTTCACCAAACCAACTTCAACAATCAAAAGGAGCCTGGAAGAGGAAACTTCTACAACTAATACCTGCTTCCCACAACTGAAGCCAAATATCTCTCTTATTCTTGCTGGAGCAGAGTAAGAAAGAAGTGATGTTTGTGACAGCAAATGCAGCATCCCACAGAAAGTCCACTGAAGACTTTCACAACTGCATTTGATGTTTTGCTGCTGTTGGCTCAGGAGGCACAGGAATGGCTCTCTCCAGGACATGGTACCACTATAGCTCAGTGGTAGCAAAGGCTGCAGCACTGCCATCATAACCCTATTCCTGTAATGACTGAATTATTTTTTTTTCCTCTGTAGTGATCTACTGGATCCCTCAGTAGCAATAACATCTATTCAGATTACTGTTGTTTTATGAGGGTAGAAATAACAGAGTCTGCTAAGGAAGAGAGGGAGAAAGAAGAATAAGGATTCTCCACCATCAACCAAACATCAGACGTGTGTTAGAGGAGATGCTTCTGTCAGTTTCGTGTAGGGCCAAAGACTGGGTGTGCTGCTTTTGGAATAAACATGGAGAATTAGTTGTCACTATGAAGTAACCTGTGGGTGTGACTGCTGGATAGAGCCCAGATGCCAGAGCAAAGAGTGCCTTTCCATGCACAGCTGTTACGTACAAGGTTAATGGCATAGTTACACTTCCCTGAGACATTCTGCCTATTATGAAGAGCTCAGTTACAACTCTTGCAATAGAGATGGGACAGGAAAAGAAAAGTAAGTGATCTGTCCTGCCCTCTTAGCTCCTATTGACTCGCCCCTTAGATTTTACCAGGCCACTCAAGTCTGTTTGGTGTTGAATATGTAGAGGAGAAGGACGAGAGTAGCTGGGGTGGAAGCACTGATGTGAGAAGTGATAATAAAAAGGAAACCAATTAGCATTAGTGAAGACAACAGTCAGCAAGCCAGCAACCAGAAAACAGCTCTGGTAAGAGAGAGCTGCTTTCTAATCAGAAGAGACAGAAAGCAAGAATGATTGAAACGGGGAATTGATCTGCCCATTATTTTTACTACTTCCTTTTAAAATTAAGCCATAGGCCATTTGGACTTGCATGCAGTTTCTCTCTGTCCCTGGTGCAGGCAAATTGTGGTGTACTGATTTAGTACCTTAATTAACAAACAATCTTTCTGTATTTTGCCCATGAAAATGAGGGGAAAATAAGAGATTGTTACAACGTTTTTTCTTTGTTACTCATAAGGTTTTTGCATGCCATCAATTAAAAACACAACTAAAAAGATACACAACTAAAAAGCTATCATTTAAATTAGGCCAAAGTTTTAAAAATGCCCTGTAAGATTTTCCATGTCAGAATAATTCAATCACTGTTATGTTTTCTTGATGCAACTATTTTGGGACTTAGCTTGTTGCTTGATAGGATTTTAATTAAGTCATTTACATTTAATTTCCAAATATGTAGCTGTTACAGAAGGCAGGAAGGAAAAAAAAAACACAAAAAAAGAGCCAGAAGACAGCCAATCTTTAACAAAAATATTTCTGATATAAAAAATGAATCTGAGGAATACATATTCAGCAATAAGTATTCCAGTCCATGTCTGGTAAACTCTCAGATAATGGCAGCACGGCGGGGTCACTGGGGTTCTATTAGCTCAATTAATGAGGAGTAAGATAAGGCTAACACCTAGCTCTTCAAACGGCTAAAAAATAGAGCTGGTAGTAATGGAGTTATTAACCTTCACCAGCCATTGAATTTTGCTGCTGATTCAAACTCCATTTCCTAGTTCAGGCCTCCATTAATAGGCTGTTTATTATCCCTAATCCACACTGGGATCAGCTGCAGAAATATGAAAGCCCCAT